GCTCAAAATCGCCAAGGTCTCTGGAGTCAGGTATTATTAAATTTCATTAATAATTTTAAGAGTCAGTTTTGATCATTTTGACTCCGAAATAGGTGAAAGAAAAAGATTTCGGTGCAAACAAAAAAACACAAAAAAGTGAATAGAAGGAGGAAGAATGCCCGAGAAAATGTGATTGGATACGAAAAAATGGCACAAGCTCTGCTCTAGATTGTGATGTGTCATTCAAGGTTTTTAGAGATAGATCTAAGGTTATATATATATATATGGTTTTTAGAAAATTTGGTGTTTAATTTCACTCGGTTGCTTATATTAAGAGAAGTTTAATTTAGAGGAGTGAATTGGATTCTAATGAATTGAGTCTTGTATCTTTCGACTCAAGACTCAATCAATTGACCCAATTCTTTTGATATTAACTTGGATTTTTATACAAAAGACACAGTAGGTTGAGGTGAATTTAGTGACCTTAATCCTTTTCATTTGATCGCAATGGTGGATTCTCAGAGTTTTCGAAGACGAGTAATTACATTTCTAGTCAATCAAAAGTTGGAAATATTTTATCAGCCGACCTGATTTTTTTGTTGGTTACTCAAAAGTTCTTTTATTGAAAAGAATACTTGCTTTGGTTTAAGAAAAATGGTCTTTAGAAAATTTTGTGATTGATTTGAGCAATTCAGAATGAAGTAATCAAGAATTGGCTGAATATTAAGGAAAAAAAATAAAGAAAATTTGGAGTTCAAATTCTGACTAAAATATAGGAGGTACAAAAAATTTATAAGAAACCTTTATTGTAGAGAATTTAATCCTCTACAATAAAGGTCTTTTTTCATTTTTTTTCTATCTGATATTTTACTCACAATTTTGATTTTGAAAGGTCGCTCATAATTTTTATCAAATTTCAGAGTCAAAAAATGCTAATCCAATGAAATAATCCCTAATAAACTAAAAAAAAATCATGAGCGACCTTTTAAAATTCACATTTTGAACTGAAACTTTCAGGAATACCTTTTTTTTTGTTCTATAAAATTATGACGTAACGAGAAAAAAAAAAATTAGATTTTTGATATTTAAAAAAATTGGGAGCCTTTTTGGTAAAGGAATAAAAAAAAAACTATCATTTTTTAACACGTCAGATCTTCACCAAAAATTTCTTAAAACTTTAAATGTTTCCTCCGCATTAAAGCTTCACGATCTGCCAACGGGGGCGGGTTGCAACAAAGTTAAATTTATTTACCCAGAAACCTCCATCCGCATCGGTAAAAAAATAATGCGGGAAGAAAATGCCTAGAGTAAATATAAATATAAATGATTAAGGAGCAGAGAGCTCGCAGTGGAGCCAGTCTTGCGCATATTAACGTCTTGAGTTGATACTACCAGCTCCAACATCCACAGATCCACATACATGTATATTTGACCGAGGAATGAAAGGGTGTGAGGGTGGAGTATCCGCATGGTTACATATCCTCTGGCCATGTGACCTAAAGTGCTTGGCTACACGTCGTGTTAGCTTCAATGTCCTACTTTGAGCTTAAACATTACACTCTCACATCATTATATTCTAGCACAATACTGTAACATACTCTACAACTATTATTATGATTATTAATACTTAACAAAATTTTCCTGAAACATTATTAATTATTTACAAGGAGAAAAATGCAATTAAATTTATAAATTTAATTTTTTCAATTTCAATGCTGAAAATTTTAATTATTATTATTATCCATATATAAAATAGATAAAATTGAGTACCCACATCAATTTTTCATATATTTATATATATTACATATATAGAATATATGAAAAATATATGAAAATACATGTGGGTACTCAAATGAAAGCTCTTGATGAGTGTAACATCGGGATGAGCTTATATCTTTAAAAACATCAATATCAATAGTTAAGAAAGTACAGTGCATTTTAACATAATTAAGAAATGACCTTGTATCTTGTGAATTATTGACATTTTTAAAGTTATAAGTTCGCCCTGACATTACACTCATCGAGACCTTTCATTTGAGTACCCACATCAATTTTTCATATATTTTATATATTTAGATATATTATATATATATGTATATATGAAAAATATATCAAAAATGCATGTGAGTACTCAAATGAAAGCTCTTGATGAGTGTAACATCAAGATGAGCTTATATTTTTAAAATATATATTATATATATGTATATATGAAAAATATATCAAAAATGCATGTGAGTACTCAAATGAAAGCTCTTGATGAGTGTAACATCGGGATGAGCTTATATCTTTAAAAACATCAATAGTTTAGAAAGTACAGTGTAATTTAACAAAAGTGATTATTTTATACAGCAAAATTTCATTTATTAATAATTTACAACTCACGGCAGTCACATAGTGACTGCAAGGTTGCTCGTTATTATTATTATTATTATCATTATAGACTCGAGCATTTACAAATATTCAAATACATACGAGCAATGTCGAGTTAAATTGCAACTGGTGGTGTTACACCTCCCCAGTAGCCAAAACATCGGCCTCACTGCAGAAATTCTATATACTCTACTACTCTCAACTCGTTTCTATTCTATTCTATTCTGTTGTATTCTATTAGCACTATGCTCGATCGACCGTATCATCCCTCTCTACAGAAAACACGAACGGATGTTGCAGAAATCTGTTTGCTGCTCTTGTTCCTGGTAGTGAGAACTTGCTTCACGTTTAATCATCTAAAGGAGGCTATATTAAGACGAATGACCTAAAAACTTGCGTTGTTTATCGCAGAATGCATTGTATTCTACCTTCACTTTGATAATGTTAACTGGCGTTTGCATTAATATTAATATTAACACTCGTACTAATTTCCAGACCAAGTTCAAGGTCTATATTTTCATTAGCACGACGTTATCTCCCGTTTCACGACATGTATATTATGCCGCAACAATTAGTCCAATTACACGTCCTGGATTCAGAAAATTCTTACCTGATATTTTGTAAAATTGTTTACAATCAAAATTAGATTGTTTATAAAACAAGAAAAGTTTTGTCCAAGTAATGTAACAGTAAATTACACTTTTTATTAAAAGTTAGTTTTTGGTTTCACCGCTAGGTGGCTACGCCCTCTCGCTTGTAGAAATATTTTACCAGATTATATATAAGGGACCCAATTTTTTTTCTATTATTAAAATTCGATATTAAAAAATTTTTATGATTAATTATTGTATCTGATATTATCAAAATTGGACAATTAATTAAATGATTGAATATTAGACTGAAAAAATTCCTTAAAACAATCATAAAATTTTTTAAATTACATTTCTTTTCACTCATGTCTTTTTTGTTCAGGGTATAAGAATATTCATGAATAAATAATTGAAATATAATTTCCATTCATACATAAAGTTAATTGAAAAGTATACAAGAGTATACGGAAAGAAAATTGAAGGAATTTTTATTAAATAAAATAGTAAGGTAAGAGCCCCCATTATCGACACTATAAGAGTGACGGCGAACATTTGAATTTTTTAACCGTATTCAAATTAATCTGACTAATTTTTTTTTGTATTAGACACTTTTTTTGATTCATCAACTTGTGTATTTTAATTTTTATACTTAAATAGTCGTTAATTAAATGACAAATATATTAATTTGAAGTCAGCAACTCAAGTGTAGGTATTATTAACAGGGTGGAATGATATCGGAGCCAATTATTGACACCCATAGACCCTATTATTGACAGGTGTCAACCCTATTATTCAGGTTTAATTGAAATTTAAACTTCGAATATAATTTATTATTTACTAGTAAACAACAATATTTTGCTCAGACAATTCTTTTTTTATTATAAAATTACGCGAGACAACATGTAAACAAATCCGCTCTGTATGTTAAAGAGGTTCAGTTTCTTAAAATTGTAGGCTGTCGCTAGTTAAACACATGTTAATTTTTATGTACCTACTATTGACACCCGCTATTTTTAAATCATAATTAAAATTTATCAGCTTAAAACAAAAAATCTAAGATTATTTAGAGTCTAAATAATCTCAAATAATTTTGGATGATAGGCTTATATCAGAATTATATAAAAAATTCGCTATTTAAAATACGCTCTCTCTTAGCAAAATTGTTAAGAAATTTTAAATAAACTAGCCATAGTGGTCTACTCGGAAAAATAAAATTTTTTGCAGTTAATAATTAATACCCAGGCATAAAATTTGACTTTTTTCTTACTAAAAAATTGATAAAAAGCAATGTTTACTGTGATTTAATCATAAAATTGATTTAAATATTTGATACCCATTTTATATTATTTTAGCGTGCAATTATACATTTGACATGTTAATCAAAAATATTAATGAAATTTTACTTCTATCTTTATATTTAATTTTTTGGAGCAAGAGAGAAATTTTCTCAAGACAAGAAAATTTACTTACAACAAGATTTTCTTGACTTAAATAAATTTTCTTGAATCGAGAAACGTATTTCTTAAAGCAAGAGAATTGATTTTGTTGGGATAAGTGAAATTTCTTGTCAAAAAAAATTTTTTTTGCTCAAGAAAATAATTAGGAAGAAAAATATTTTCTTGGCTCCTTTTTTTTGTGTAAATTTTTTTTTAAAACATCTGACAATTAATAGTAATAAAAGTATAGTCCAGCTTTACAATAGTTGTATCGTAAATTTTCCCAGAAATTTTTTTCCGTATAATAGGTCGCTCTAGCTATGTCGTTTTCTCAATTCCTCTCAACTTCCTACAATCAGCGGCGTTACATAAACTTTTAAAAGTAAAGACATAGATTAAAACTTATGTCAATAAAAGTCGACTGTGCAGAGAATACGTAATATATATAATATATAATAACAACAACAACAAGAACAAGATACAGAAACTGTAGAGTAAACATTCTAATTTCTCTCTAATTATAATTAGTACTCTAAGATCTGGTGTACGGTAGACGACAGTTTACTAATTATTATCGTTTCTTTGGCATGTTGCAGTGTTTCCGAATGTACCGCCAGCACCTGGGATGCCATGTCAGGGAGAAGATCGTAAGTACTTATATATTATACTCTATACTCTTTACAAGTTTGATTTATTAACCCGATTGTTCGTTTTATTTGCTGATATCAATTCAATAAATTTTCCGGTTTAAATTAATTCGGCTCAACTACTGTTCGGAATACCGCGAGCGCAAATATTAGTCCATATTTTAAAGGCTAAATCGCTGATGAAATATACAAATACACCTTTTAATTGATGTCCCAATAAACAGCCGAGGCTTAAATTATATTGGTGGGATATATATATATATATATATATATATATATATATGTGTGTGTTAAAGGTTTTAGCTGTAGTTGTAGTTATAGTCACGCCTAGTTTGCTTCGGTTTAATTGTTATATGCTCATGTGTTCATGTGTGAACTTTTTATTTTGGATATGTGCGACTATTAATTATTAAGAGTGAATTGCTAGAACTGGCGCCGGTCCAAATTCGATTGTAAAACAACTTTAATATTACATACATAGAATGTTCTCTGTTATTGTCATTTACGAGATTAAAAACAACTTTTGTTTATATTTTTCTTTTTTTTTATATTATTTATTGTTAATTATATAAAGTGAATAAATTTAAAAGTAGTTAAATAATTTTGGATTTATAATAAAAAAAAATACTAAAAAGTACAATTAATTTTTTACTGGAATTTTATTGAAGTTAAAAATAAATTAAATGAAAAATTATTTTTAAATATTTAAATTTATAGTAACATAAAATGATTTTAGTGAAATTTGTGAAAAATTAAGGGGACTTTTTTGTAAAATTTAATTTGTGTTGGTTTATATTTATTTAGGTTTTTTAATAAAATTTTTTACCTAAGAAAATAAAACGTGTAAAAAATGTAAAAATTTATAGTAACAAACAATATTTGATGCAATTAAGCAAAACTAATTTAAATATGTCAATAAATATCTTTAATAAATAAATAAATAAAATTTTGGTATTATCTATTGACTTTTAGGCGGAGCTACAATCGTTTAAGATTTATCAGCTCTAGAAAAAATTACACATTTTTAAGATTAGTTGTTGCTCAATTATTCTGAATTACACTCACAATACTTACATACAATTTTCATTTTGATCTATTTCTTTGAAATAGATCTCTTTAGCACTTAAAAATTTGAAAGTAGCTTTAAAAAATAAGAAAAAAAATCTGTAAGTTGATGAAAGAATTTTTTAATAATTAGTAAAAGGTAAAAGACCTAGTTATTGACACTTGCAATTTCATTTTAATTAAAAAAAAAAAAAATCAGCCCTAATAAATGAACAAATGTAATTTTTTAAATTAAAAATTTTAAGAAAATTGGTTTTTTGAGAACATTTAATTTTTTTAACCAGAATAAAATTGCAAGTGTCAAACAATTAGGCCAGTGTTAATATGATTTTTGAACATTAAATGATTTAATAAATATTTATTAACAGTTAGTAGATTATTTATTAAATCATCTTTATTCACAGTTAATAATTATTTGATAAAAGTTAAGAAATATTTATTAATTGTTAATAAAACTTTGTCTAGACTCTTGAATAAAAAGTAAAATAAATTAAACTTTTAGACTATTTATGACCCCATGGCTTCAATAGATAATTTCATTAGATCAGTATCATTAATTATTTTCTAATAAAAAAAAAATATGAAAAATAAAATTAATAGCAAAACAAAATTTGTAATAAATTATAGAATTTTTTTAGGGGTAAAAATAATAAGTGTTTAGTGTTTTCATTATAAAAAGTTCTGACATTATTTATTTACTACACTTATAGAAGGATTTTTACTACAGAGTACAAAACTGATTTAGTAATAAAATTTTTAGTCATTCATTTTGAAGAAAAAAGATATTTTTTACCCATCAACATTATTTGTTACAATTTAATAAATGATTTTTTTTTCTAAATAAATTATATTAATATAAACAAAGCCTTATTATATGAAAATAAATATTTATTTCCACCAAATAATATTTAGTAGTATATCATTTAATTTAAGCAAACTTTTCGTAACGTGATTGGTCAAATATACTCGTATTTATTTATTTAGTAAGTATTGTCGGTAGATGGCTATGCGCTTTAATTCCAATGTGATACATAACCTATTCACTGACTCGGATTATTTTATTCAGCTCGATTTGGGAGATTTACCAAATATTCGAAACAACACATATTCCCAAAAGGCTTATATGTCATTTCTCAGTTGAGTTTAGTTAAAATTTTTATTATTGATACGTTAAAAACTTGTTTAATTATAAATTTTATAAATGTCTTAAATTAAAAATGATAATTCTATGAGATTCTTTTCTTTACATATAATACTTAACATTTTTACTTAAAATTATTTATTTTAATTATTTTAATTTATTTTGAGTAAAAATGTTAGGTTATACGCTAAAATTAGTTAAAAAATTAATTTGTTTAATACCAATAAACGATTTATTGAGTAGCAATAAATAATTTGTTAACTACTACTCAATATTTATTTGGTGGAAATAAATGTGCTTTAATAAATGATTTAGTAATTATTACTAAATATTTGGTAATGAAAGGTTTGTTACTAAATCATTTAGTAACTATTAATAAATTATTTTTCCAAAAAATATTTTTTAATATTAAATAAATAACTTTATAAAGAGTTAATAAATCCTTTTATCAATGAGTTAAAGTTATTTTTCCGGGTTAAAAACTTTCAATAAAAAATATTAAAAAATCGCAATAATTTATCTTCAATTCTCGTATAAGAAAAGGCAATAATACATCTGAGTGATAGCGAGTTAAAGTTGTTAAACTAAAATATAAAAAATAAAAAGAAAACGTAAATAAATTTTGAAGCCATTTGATATTATTGATTTTGAAATACAATAAAAACCAATTTCCCCGAGTATTTATTAAATAAAATTCAATATACAATCTATATATATAAAAATCACAAAAAAAGAGCTTATATATTATATATTTACTTTAAAAGGTTTTATTTGTTGTTGTTTACAGGAAGCATATACAGACGGGGAGCGCGGAGGTGGAGGAAACTGTACCGAGTTAATGGGCACATTTTCCAAGCAAAACGTTTTAACAGAGTGAGTACTCAACTGGCACCTTCAATAATAAATAATTAATACCTATAGACTTTTAATAATAAATTAGGACTACATTAGAATGAATCCGAACAAAAACAGTTTCACTGTAAAAAAAATCTCGCCAAGTCCACGTTCATAAGACTATTAAGAAAAAAAAATTAGTTTTTTTCTTTACAAAAAGATATAAAATAAAAAAATTAAAAAATCCAAGTAACCGATATGATTGTTTATGATTTTCGGAAATTAAAAAAAATTTTGTTGTAAATTTAAAAATTGCAACCGCGCACACTAAATACGTTTCAAAATTGTTTTTTTAATTTTTAAATTTACAAAAAAGTTTTTTTTAATTTCCGAAAATCATAAGCAATCATATCGGTTACTTGGATTTTTTAATTTTTTTAATTTTTTTATTCTATCTCTTTTTGTAAAGAAAAAACTAATTTTTTTTTCTTAATCGTCTTATGAACGTGGACTTGGCGCGATTTTTTTTTTACAGTGAAACTGTTTTTGTTCGGATTTTAGTATTTTTTTTAATTATAATAAAAATTTACAATTAGTTCAAATTTAAATCTCGCGTTGGCTGCATTTTTTATAGCAAACTATTCCCTTGAAGCTATAGTTTATGTAAAAATAATTCCAGCGCACCCTTGCGGGTGTAGATGCAAGCTGTGAAATATCTTTTTTTGACTGTAGTTTCCCATCTAATGAAGGATTACTATGTATTCTCGAATTATTTAGTCTGTGGCTGATCACTTTGCCCATCGAAAAAAAGTCAGGATCGAAATTTATATTATTCGTTCAGTTGAACGTTCGAAACTTCAAGTACATGAAATTTTTGCGTTGCTATAGTTTGTGCTGATTAAATTTATTAATTTCAAGTAGATTAATTGTTATATGTGAATATAATTAATTAATAACAGTAAATTAAAGTATGAATTACTGTTATAATATAAAATTTAGGAAAAAAAATTACCGTAGAATTAAATAAAATTTTGCAACCTCAAAATACCGTTCTGCTTACAGTAAACACAGTCGGTAGTCTGGCGCTCCGTTGACAACGGATTTGAACGGAACTTGGCGCCAGATTCTACCGAATCTGTGGATTAAATTTAAAAATTTTAGTCATTTTCCCATTTCGCATGGAATACCCCAAATATTAATTGAAAATAAAATTTGTTATTTTAATAAAAATATAAATAAATTTTAGCGAGCGTTCTGCGCCTTTTGTCAAGACCGGATCTGGGGCCTGGGCCGCCAAGGGTTCAAGTGCATCCAATGTAAGCTTCTGGTCCACAAAAAATGCCACAAAGTCGTGAGAAAACCCTGCTTGAGCATACAACAACAATCGCAGTCGCACGATTCACAATTGAACGATCGGAATGGCGACCAAGTGCCGCTTGATTCGTCACCGCAATCCAGCCCGAAGGCTCATTTGGATGACGAAACCGCGGAGTCCAGTGTTATCGAGGATTCACGTCCACGTATGTTTACACGCATATCATCATTTATTTATTATTCATCATCTACATGTTAATTAGTTGCGTTATTAATAATCAACTTTGATATTTACCGACAAACTGGGTCAGTACACTTGATTTATCCCGATAATTTATAATTGACACCGGCAGATGCCTTTTTCGCTTTAGCGGATCGATAATTTTAATAATTTATAGTTTTCCAGCCCAAAAAATCTGTTATTTTTGGCTTGATAGCTAATTCAATATTCTAAAAGTCAAATTTTAATTAGTAATTAAAAAGTTAAATTTGATATCAGATAAAAAGCTACTATTATTGACAGAGCCCCCACTATTGACACTTTATTTAATTTTATTATCTTATTATTAAAATCTGTTAATAATCACAATTTTTGATATTTCATGACAATTTTACATATTTTTTAAATTAAAAAATAGTAAAATTTAATTCCAAGGTATAAACTATTTACCGCAAAAAAATTTCATTTTTTCAAGTAGGCCAAAACTGCTTATACGTTTGTTATTTCTTAACGATATTGTTAAGAAAGACCTTATTTTCAAATCCAGATTTCTCAATGTTTTTTTTATGTAATTGCATTGTTTAAAATTATTTTAGATTATTTATAGTCTAAATAACCATATAATCATTTATTTATACTTTATCGAGTTAAAATTAATTTTAAAATAGCGGATGTCAATGATGGGGACACAAAAATTAACTTGCGACAACTAACGACACAGACCATAATGTAAGGTAACCCAACCCCCTCAACATACATATCAACGTATTAATGTTTACATACTGTCATGTGATTTTATAAGAATCAAAGTATTTGAGACTAGAAAAAATTGCTAAAAAAAACCTGGTAAAAAATATAGAAAAGCTAGGTCTTAAACGAATTTTAAAATAATAAAAATTATTGATAGTTTTGCATTAGTTAGTAAAAATGATTATTGTTAATATAAATTTAACTGTAATAAAAGACCTGTCAATAATCGGCTCTTTGAATTTTTTGCGCTGTTAATAATACATACATTCGACCTGTTGGTTTTAAGTTGATATAATAATTATTAAATTTATCGCTATTAAAGTCAATTAATTAAATTGTATAAGTAAAAGCAATGATTAAGGTGTCCTATAAAAAAATTGACAATGTTGATTTAAAACATGATAAAAAAATTCAAATATTCATGATCACTCTTACAGTGTCAATAAAAGAAGGTTTTGCCTTATATATACTCTAATAAAATATTTCTACAAGCGAAAGGACGTAGCCACCTAGCGGCGAAACCAAGAACTAACTTTTAATAAAAAATGTGCCAAATAATTTTATATCACTAAAAATATCTTCAAGAAATCTATAAAATAATTTTGATCAATTCTAAGTATTTTATTTAGTAGAAAAAAATAAATAAAACATTTCATTTCATAAATTACGGTCCATAATGTAGTATGTCAATAATCGGCTCTTTGAATTTTTTGCACTGTCAATAATACATACATTCGACCTGTTGGTTTTAAGTTGATATAATAATTATTAAATATATTGCTATTAAAGTCAATTAATTAAATTATCTCAGTAAAAAAAAATGATTAAGGTGTCCTATAAAAAAATTGACAATATTGATTTAAAACATGATAAAAAAATTCAAATATTCATGATCACTTTTATAGTGTCAATAATGGGGGATTTTACCTCAATGTCCTTAAATTATTTTTGATAAATCGCATTTGAAATTAAAATTTTTGCCACATGATAAGGTATAGAAAAAACTTAGTAAAGATCTTTTTTATCAAACTTCTTACAAGAAAATTCTCGTATGGTTTTTTTCACCTCTTCAATATTAACCCCAGAATTTGGATTTTAAACTTTTCTAAACGCGTAGTCTAACCACATACCTTTGAAAGATTAATTTGAGATTGAAATTTTGGCTAAATGATAAGAGATAAGAGAGATTAAAAAAAAAAATAAATTAAAATAAAAAATCTGTCAGCTCAATTTTTTGATTTTTTATTTTTAATTTAAAAAATTAGCAAAGATTCTAAAAATGTCAAAAAATAGAAAATAAATTGAAAACGTCAAAAAATAAAACATAAATATCAAGAATATTTATAAATTTTCAAACGTCAATGCTTGCTTACATAATTTGAAACTCAAAACCTACTAATAGAATAATAGAGTCCATTTTTACTTGATTTTTTTTGGTCCTGACTATCACCGCTGGTCTATTTATAAATTTTATTTAGCTTACAGTAAACTGAAAAATGAACGAGTCAATAGTCATTTCAAAACAATTTGAGTTTCTGAAGATTTTTCAAGTGCTTTGACGGATTTTTTCGTTCTGAATATAAAAAGCGAATTTTTACGTGCGAATATACGGACCCTCTGTAACTAGAATAAATATTCGTGGTTTTTAATTGTAATTATAGATTTCGTGCCAACTCGAGGATTGTGCGTACTAACGCTCGTTTGAATATCAAACTTTATTTTACTTGAATCAATACACACAAACTTTAATTCGAGTTTTTTCAATTTTGCTTTGAAATAAATTATCAGTACATTGAGAAAATCGGTTATTTTTTTTTTTAGCGAAGTGAATGTTAATTTTAATCTCAAAAACTTTTAAATACATAGTTTTACATTAAAATAAATTTTAATTAGCTTTATTAAATTTCGATTGCCAAATTACTGGAAAATAATTCAAAAAATTTTCTCAAATTAAACTTTGTAAATATTTAGTAATAGAAAATTTAATTTTTTACAAAAAAAAAAACCTTATTAATTTTTTTCTATTTCTTATTATTTATTAAAATTTCATTTTGAAATTTAATTTTCAGAGAATTTGATTCGATCTCGTGATTAGATAATATTAAAATCAAAATTTTAGACTGTTAGAAATTTCAAAAAAATCACAAGAAATCTTTTTTGTTGAAAATAAAATTCTCTACAAAAAAAGGATCTCATAAATTTTCTGCTATCTCTTATTATTTAGCCAGAATTTTAATGTCAAATTAAACTTTTAAACAAAGTATTTGATTAGACTAATTGTTTAGAAAAGTTTAGTCACAATTTTGGACTTAAAATTATTAAAATTTGTATAATCAACTATTCTCTTCTTATGATTGAAAAAAAAATTTTTTACCATCATGAAAAATTTTTAGTGCTTAAAGAAAATTAAAATCGGCTTTCTCGGCTTTTTTGTAGTTACAAAAAAAATCACTGAAGACCTTTGTTGTTAAAAATTAAATTCTCTACAAAAAAAAAAAATCCTTATCAATTTTTCACTATCTCTCATGATTTAGCCAGAATTTTAATTTTAATTCAATTTTAATCACAAGTTATTGGATTACATTATTTAGAAAATTAAATTCTCTACAAAAAGGTTCTTATAAATTGCATCCTATTTCTTCAAAATTTTAATTTCAATCTTTAAAAAATTTGATAATTTTTTTTCCAAAATTTGAATATTTCTTCCCAAAAATTTTATTATTAATTAAAATATTTTTATAAATACAAAAAAATTATTTGAGACTTTTTTTTTTTTTAATTTAATTTTCTTTAAAAAAAATTTTCATTAATTTTCTTCTATCTCAGAATTTGATCAGACTACGTGATTAGATAATATTAAAGTAAAAATTCTAGGTTCACTATCAAAGATTCAAAAAAAATCATGAGAACTTGTTTGCAGAAAATTTAATTCTCTTCAAAAAAATTTTTATCAATTTTCCACTATCTCTTATTATTTATCCAGAATTACAATCTTAAATTAAACTTTCAAAGTATTTGAATAGATTACGCGTTTAGAAAATTTTAAAATCAAAATTCTGAGATTATTATTGAAGATATAAAAGAATCATAAGAAACTTATTTTGTAAAAAATTTAATTCTCTTCAAAATAGGTCATAATTTCAATTTCAATCGATTAATCTTAATTTATATCAAATTTAACTTTCTGAACTTTAATAAATTTTTTCAAAAAATTTTTAGAACATTTAACCGAATTTTAAATCATCCCCAAATTTTATTGTCTATAATTTTTATAATATCAATCATTTCATTTTTTATTTGTAAAAATTTCTTATAAAATGCCGAATTCAGAAAAAAAATGATAACTGGATAAATTAATAACGCATCTAATTAAAAATAAAAAAAAAATCACCATGCATACAAAAGGTCTTTATCATATTTTTAATTTTTTTTATTAATCAGAATTCAATAATAGAATTTTAATAAATTTTTTAGGCACGAATGATGAAGGGGAAGAATTGGCACTGGACGTTGTTGCAAACGCGGACGGAACAAACGACCTTCAGCGGCAATATTCTCTAGCAGACTTCGAGCTGATCCGTGTAATTGGTCGGGGATCTTACGCGAAAGTCCTTATGGTCGAGTTGAAGCGTACGAAGCGGATCTACGCAATGAAAGTGATAAAGAAGGCCTTGGTGACCGACGACGAGGACATAGATTGGGTGCAAACAGAAAAGCACGTGTTTGAAACAGCCTCTAACCACCCGTTCTTGGTGGGACTGCACTCCTGCTTCCAGACGCCGTCCCGGCTGTTTTTCGTAATCGAGTTCGTCCGAGGAGGCGACCTGATGTTCCACATGCAACGACAACGGCGTCTTCCTGAAGAGCATGCTCGGTTCTACGCTGCTGAAATAAGTCTCGCCTTAAATTTTTTACACAAAAAAGGAATTATTTACCGCGACTTGAAGCTGGACAACGTTCTGCTGGACCACGAGGGCCATGTCAAGCTTACAGATTACGGAATGTGCAAAGAGGGAGTTAGAGATGGCGACACTACTGCCACTTTCTGCGGAACGCCCAATTATATTGCTCCAGAGATCCTCAGAGGGGATGAGTATGGATTCTCCGTTGATTGGTGGGCGCTTGGAGTTCTGCTCTATGAAATGTTGGCCGGAAGAAGTCCCTTCGACATTGCCGGAGCCTCGGAAAATCCCGATCAGAACACCGAGGACTATCTTTTCCAGGTGATTCTGCAGAAGACGATAAGAATCCCGAGGTCGCTTTCTGTCAAGGCTGCTTCGGTGCTCAAGGGGTTCTTGTGCAAGGAGCCTAATGAGAGACTTGGATGTGGAAGGGGTCCTTCTGCGTTTTTAGATATTGTGGGGCATCCCTTCTTCAAGGCTATTGATTGGGAAATGGTAAGTTGGAAATTCAAGAGTTTTAGTTTTGTAATTTTTGTGTTTTATGGAAGATTAATCTGAGTTGAAATTTTGGGTGAAAGATTAGAGATAGGTGGACCATTTTTGTAGAGAATTAAATTTTCTACAAAAAAGGTTTCTGATTATTTTTTCGTATTGCGCGCCTTATAAGCGAAGCGTCTATTCTCGACATTTCAAAAAAAGCAGTTTTCTCGAAACTGAAATTGATTTTTTTTTTATTTATATCGCACTTACAGGTTAATATGAGTGTACTAATATTAAGTCAAATAATTTGTCAGGTAAATAAAATATATTTCAATAACAATTATTTTGTTTAACATAATAAATAATCCGTATTATTTTATTATCTAAAGTAACACACGACGGACTTTCTCAATTAATATGAGCGTTCAATTTACTGTCGTTGAATTATTGTTTATAAAAAACTAAAATATGATTGTGAATTTTTTTGTATATCTATCTATACATTTTATTATAGTATTTTTTTTTTCACCTTAGCGTTATGGCGCCATAGAACCATAACAGAGTTTTCTGTTTTTTTTTATTATTTTGCTTTTTATATTTTATTTTAATCAATTTTATTGTGAAAAATGAGATTATGAGGCGTGCACTTTTAGATTTTTCAAACTTTTTTTAATATTTACTCCGTAATTTTAATTTTAAAATAAAAATTTTGAATTAAAATTTCGGGTAAATTATAAGAAATAAAGGAAAATTGATAGAGAATTTTTTTTGTAGAGAATTAAAATTTTATACAAAAAAGGTTTCTTATGAATTTTTCGTATTTTTAGTATTTAGCTCAGAATTATAAAATTTTGAATCAACTTCCATATTAATCAATTGAAAGCTTTCTTTGGATTTATTAAAAAAAAAACCTAATTTTAATAATTTATTTTATTTATAGCTTGAGCAAAAACAAGTAACTCCACCGTACAAACCGCGGCTGGACTCAGACCGGGATTTGGCTAATTTCCCACCAGAGTTCACGGATGAGCCTGTTCATCTTACACCCGATGACCAGTAAGTTTTTTTTCTTTTTTACTCAAAAAAATTTTATTTTATTAGAATAATAATATTAATAAATAGAAAAAATAATAATAATTATCAACAAAGATTATTAATATTATTATCATTATTACTAGCAACCTTCCGTGACTTGTGAACTATAAATAAATAAAATTTTGCTTCATTAAATAATGAATTTTGTTAAATTGCTCTGTACTTTCTTAAATATTGGCCTTTTTAAAGATATAAGCTCATCCCGATGTTACACTCGTCAAGACCTTTCATTTGAGTACCCACATGCATTTTTGATATATTTTTCATATATATATATATATATATATATGAAATATATGAAAAATTGATGTGGGTACTCAAATGAAAGGTCTTG